TTAGGATTTGTTTTTCGATACTCTTAACAAAATTTGTCATCTGAAATACAGTAATTCTGATTAGTCCTGGCTCAGTCCTGGTTCAGTCCTGGTTCAGTCCTGGTTCAGTCCTGGTTCAGTCCTGGTTTCGTCCTGGTTTCGTCCTGGTTTCGTCCTGGTTTCGTCCTGGTTTCGTCCTGGTTTCGTCCTGGTTTCGTCCTGGTTTCGTCCTGGTTTCGTCCTTATGCAGAACAAAAGTCCGTTCATCTTGATCGTTGTTTCTTCTGATCAGTAAATAAAACTTAATAATGTCTAACGTTGTATTTTTGAGTCGAGTCGCGTCTGTGAATTCGTGTTCGTACTGAAGAAAGTGTAATCGTACATTTTTGATTTGGTTGTAATTCTTCTTGATGTAACTTTTCAGTTCATATTCTGATGATAAAATACACACGACACATTTTATGTACGACTTCAAGAGTTTACGAATATTTATTTAATGCTCAGCTGCAAATACGCACGGATTTGTATTTTATACACAAATATTTCTGAAGTCTTTTTCTCTTGCTCACCAGAGCTGACTGAGTGAATAAGGAAATTAACAGACGATTCATTTAATATATAATTATTTTTTATTTAAAAAAAGTATATTTATATAGATGAATAACAGTGTGAATAGTGTTTTGACCTGGGGTCAACATGCCGCTGTAGTAAAGTGACCCCCCCCCCCTTACTTTTTACTTTACATTTACTTTTATTATATATTTCTACATATTCACTTTCTTTTAAGGTATTTTAAGGAATGTTTTGATGGAGAACGACTTGGGATTTTGTGTAAATGTAATGTATTTTTAATACTGCATATATATGGGAATCTTACATCTTACGTTAAGGTTTTTAGTTTGATACTTTCAGATGATCCACGTCATTTTAAGTGAAGTTCAGAAACCATTTAACAAATCTTTTATTTTCAGTAAAATATGTTTAAACTACAGTTATTTTTAACATTCAAAAGTTATCGACATAAAAAATGCATCTGAGTTCTTCAAAAAACACTTTTAAATATGTTTTAATTTGCAGATATTGTATTAATATTAATATTATTTCACTCTGTAATATCAATATAATCCTCATTTGCTCACAGAACTTTACTATGAAATGGTATTTTAAATCATTTTTTCTTGTTCCTCACGTCTTGGAGCGTCTGTAACTGTGGATTTGGGAAGAAATATACATTATTTCTTTTCCTGCTGTGAACATAATTTGTAAACAGCGAAACACAAGAAACTTGGAAAACTACAGAATTAGTTCTAAAATAATTCAGAATCATTTAAGGAAAGTCTTATCTGATGTATTTAAATGAAATACAAAGTTAAAATCCTGAAATAGTTGTGGCACGTCATTTTTTTTTTTTTTTTTTTTTTTTGAGATATTTTGTAACTTGTGTGTTTACAACATATAATCACAAAAGTTTTTAGTTATATTTTTTTTATTTTTTGTATATAGATTAACTTAGTTTCACAAAGGTGTAGTTCAGTGGGACGTTTCAGCTGATTTCTTGTCCAGCAGAAAAGTTCCACAGTGCACGTTTAAGTTCCGTCCGGTCGTGTCCCTTAAGCTCGGCGCTGCTCTCGTCTCCATAAGACTCTTAATGTTCTGTCCGGCCTTTTAAAACCATACATTAACTCCCCGTGTCGAGTTACTTAGAGCCGTCCTAATGGGCTTTTATCGATGGACGTGGAACGCTGCTCCGAGTCGACGGGAAGACGGAGTATTTTCCAACACAAAATAAAGAGGAGCATAAGCAAACGTAAAGATATAAACGGCCACTGACTCCGTTTAAATGTTTTCTCGTTAATGACGACGTCGTGATGACAGGAAACTCTAAAATAAAACGTTGGAACCGTCTTCGCTCGGCGTAAGTTTGGAATAACGACGGTCTTAAATGTGCACTGTGGAACTTTTCTGTTGGAGCGTACGTCACCTGCTTGTTTCTATGGAGATGGTTTCTATCCACCGCTCGGCCTGCAATGTTCCACAGTGTGACTTTAAACAGCTCCACTTTACATTTATTCAGTCACAGGTTTTTTTTATGGCTCAAAAACACATCGAAAAAACGATTCTGACTGAGTCTGGTTTGGTTTCCGTGAAAATGGAAATGCTGTATGTGTAATGCTGTACTGTGGAACATTCCAGACAAAGCAATAGACCAGGACCTAAAGGCCAGGTCTAGGCCAGGTCTAGGCCAGGTCTAGGCCAGGTCCAAAAAATGAGGACTAGACCAAAACTGAAATGGAATTAAATCTCCATCTCCAAAGCCCCAAACGCGCTGCTCCACCTTGTGATGTCATGAAGTGGTAGTTTCCAAGTTCTCAGCTCCTTTTCTCTTTAGTGCGAGTCTTCGTCTTAAACCTTTCCGTACTTTCTGGGCTGTGGGAAATTGACCGAAACAGACTAAAATGTTACGTAGTGCATCTTTTTAAAACACACTGATTCTCTAACTGTCCTTGTCCCTGTGTTCCAGACCTCCTCCCTGGTCTCCTCAGAAGATCCTCCATGTTCTGCGGGTTTCTCCTCGGACGCGTTCATCTTCAGAGTGGGAAGAAGGAGACTCCACTCCGGCATGAGGCTGGGGAAAGGTACAGCGCCTTTAAATGTCCCAAATATTCCAAATATCTGCTCTGATCTGTTGTCGTTTCCTCGTCACAGAGCTGGAGTTGTGTTTTGTTTCTCACACGTTTTTAAAGAGCCACTAAACTAAATGTGTCTTTGTCCCTGGTCTTATTTTGGCATTTTCGAGTGTATTTGTTACATTTTTGGGTCAAAGTTGTGTCTGTATCGGCCTCTTTGGGATCAACTACAGTCAGGACATTTGGGTTTAAGTGACGTTTCGTGTGTAAAGTGAAGTTGTAGTAAAAACAACAGAAGAGAGAAGAACAGACTGTTCACACTGTCACATATTTGACAGTTCTTCAGATAAACTATAAACAACAGAACAAGTTGAACAAACTCTCCGTTTCACTCCAAATCACTAAATCACTTCAGTTCTTCATCCTCGTGTCACTTCTGAACAACTCGACCTCCGGAGGGAAACGGAGCAAAGTAAACTCTTCTGTGTCGCTGTCGTCAGAATCAGACTCAGTTCAGTTACAATTATTCGTATCTTTCTGAATCCCGACAGGATGGTTTCAGTGTCACTGAAGTCCAGACTTTGTCTGTCCATCCAGTGACTTCAAGAAAGTTTCATGGTGCATCCTCCTGGTGTCACAAGTTTCTCTCACACTCCAAACTTTCTTTCTGCTGCTCCATTTCCAGCTTCAGCTGCAGATTTCACGACTTGCAGTTTGTAATCTGCAGAATCTGATTTTGTTTTTTGAGGCATTTGTGTTCAGTCTCTCAGTCTTTGTCTTTATAAGTTTAAAGTTTAAATAATAAATAGTTGAGTGGTGCAGAAGTAACGGTGCGATCGACTGACATGATCCAGACAGAACAGAGGTTCTTTGTGTAGGAGACATGAGCAGCAGAGCCAAGTGACAGTGGTGCAGGAGGAACAGGAGCAGCAGATCCTCACACACAGAGCTTTGTGTGATTTGGACCTTTCAGTGCTGATCACTGGTTGAACCCCAGTTCCTTTTTTTTTCCCCATTTTTTTTTTGTCTTTTTTTTTTTTTTTTTTTGCCTTTCAAATTGTACTTCCTGGTTGGAACTGGTGCAGTGATTCTAACGTGAAGTCTGTGAACAGAAGCAGAGCTGCAGCTGATCAGAGTTTGGTTAAAGTGCAGTTAAACATTGACTCATGAGTCTGAACAAAGATCAGCTCAAACAGAAACAGGACTCCAGAGACCGAGGCTCATGTTTTCACTACAGGAGACGTTTTTATTTTTACCACAGCGTGACTTTAAACAGCTCCACTTCACATTTATTCACTTACAGATGATTTTTAAGCTCAAAAATCCCTAGAAAACCCAACAGTGGGGTCACCTCTCCACAGATCTGACCTGGAACGTGGTCGGGTTTGGTCCCAATGAAGAAGGTTTCTTCATTTGTGACTTTATTTCATTATTATTTCATTTTCCATCAAAATGATTTAAACAAAGTAAATTTTTTATGACATTTTTCTCTTTAACTACATCATGTAAAAATGTAATTTAGTTTTTGGACTCGTCGGGTCCAATCGACCCAAATACCAAAGAGAAATGAATAAATCCTCAGGAGTTTAACGATGTTTTTTTTTTTTGGAGTAACATTAAAAGCTTGAATACAAAGTGAAAAGTGTGGAGGGCTGAAGCTGAAGCGTGTGTTTACTGAAGGTGTGGCTCGGCTCGGCCTGTTTCAACACGCTGTCCTCTCCTCTCTCACTCCCTCACACTCCCTCCTTCTTTATCTCTTTCATCTCTTCTGCCTCTTTCTCTCTTTTTCTTTCTCCCCACGTTTCTCTTCTTCTGTTCTTTTACCGCCTCCTTTCCTCTCCCCTTTTCTCTCTCTTCCTCCTCCCTCTCTTTTCTCTCTTTTCTCTTCGCATTTCTCTCTTCCTCCTCTTCCTCCTCCTCTTCTTCTGGGATTGTGAGGAGACACAAGTTCAGACCTGATGAAACAGACCAGATGAACCTGAGTTTAACCTGCACTGAGGAGAAGACAGGATCAGAGGAGGAGGAGGAGGAGGAGGAGAAGAGGAGGAGTTGAAGCTGTAGAAATGTGAAATGCATAATTACATGTTCTTTTAAAACCCTAATATTGATGTTAATTACAGTGATTTGAGGATTAGAAACTCGAGAACCAAAGCACCAGATTTCACCCAAACAAAGACCTGGTTTAGTCCTGGTTTTTAGTCCTGGTTTTTAGACCTGTTTTTTAGACCTGGTTTAGTCCTGGTTTAGTCCTGGTTTAGTCCTGGTTTAGTCCTGGTTTAGTCCTGGTTTAGAGGGAGGTGGGAGGGCATCTGAGTCATGCTTCTCTGTGATTTCAAACCTGATCTGCGGCGCCGGATTCGTCACACTTCACTCACTTTCTGGGAGTGGAGCGGGTCAAAGGTCAACCTCAGAAACCAATAAACCAGAATAAACCGGTCGGCCCGGTTTCTCTTCCTGTAAATGTTTAGTCCTGGTTTAGTCCCGGATTAGTCAATGATTTAATTCTGTTTCAGTTTTGGTTAAGCTCTGCTTTAGTCCATGTGTTTGGACCTGGATTTAGACCTGGTTTAGTCTTTGTGTTTAGTCTTTGTGTTTAGTCCTGGTTTAGTCCTGGTTTAGTCCTGTCAGATCCACAGATCTGACTTGTAACTTGGTCTGGTACATAAACATTTATATATTTCTGCTTTTTATTTCTGCTACTTATTTGTTCTAATATTTATTATTACATTTATATTTTCCTCTTTGTTAAAGTTTGTCTAAGTCTGATGAAGATAAATGTTTAATGCCACACTGTGAAACATTTTAAAGCAATAACATCTCCACAAAATAAGAGTTTGAATTAAAATGGTAAAATAATCATTAGACTCGTTTGCAGTTTCTGTGTTTTGTAGTGTTTTTATTTTAATTTAATTTCCAGATTTTAAAAACACTTTTCCTGTTTGTCCGTTTGTTTTTCAGTGGGTTTCAGCGACTGCTCCGACCGCAGGAGGTTTGTGTTCAACAGCGAAGACTCCAGATTCAACGTTCAGACCGACGGCGTGATCACGGTGAGAAGCACCACACCTTATCCTCTTCATTATTACTCTGGGATTTATTTCACTTTTGGTTTAGACCTGGTTTAGTCCATGTTTTTGGACCTGGTTTAGACCTGGTTTAGTCCATGTTTTTAGACCTGGTTTAGTCCGTGTTTTTAGACCTGGTTTAGTCCGTGTTTTTGGACCTGGTTTAGTCCATGTTTTTGGACCTGGTTTAGTCCATGTTTTTGGACCTGGTTTAGTCCATGTTTTTGGACCTGGTTTAGTCCATGTTTTTGGACCTGGTTTAGTCCATGTTTTTAGACCTGGTTTAGTCCGTGTTTTTAGACCTGGTTTAGTCCGTGTTTTTGGACCTGGTTTAGTCCATGTTTTTGGACCTGGTTTAGTCCATGTTTTTGGACCTGGTTTAGTCCATGTTTTTGGACCTGGTTTAGACCTGGTTTAGTCCATGTTTTTAGACCTGGTTTAGTCCGTGTTTTTAGACCTGGTTTAGTCCGTGTTTTTGGACCTGGTTTAGTCCATGTTTTTGGACCTGGTTTAGTCCATGTTTTTGGACCTGGTTTAGTCCATGTTTTTGGACCTGGTTTAGTCCATGTTTTTGGACCTGGTTTAGTCCATGTTTTTGGACCTGGTTTAGTCCATGTTTTTGGACCTGGTTTAGTCCATGTTTTTGGACCTGGTTTAGTCCATGTTTTTGGACCTGGTTTAGTTCTTGTTTTTGAATGTGACAAACTAATAAGTTACTCAAACGTGTGAAACAAAACCTGACTCCAGGTCTGTTTTTGAGGAGGTAATAACATTAGAACATGGTTTAATGATCATAAGAGAATTTTAAATATAATTGACCTAAAAATATAATTAAATTATAAACACAAATGACGTTTGATAAACAATCATCCACATGTGTTTTTTCAGATCTGTTCTGTAGTTACTTTACCTGTCAAAGGCCTGATCGTATATAAAGCTCTGTAGCTCCATCTGGTGATGTGAAAATGAACTGCTTCCTGCAGAAGCAGCGACACAGAGCAGGACTCGATCAGACACAAACTCAACTCATCACAAACTCATTTGTGATTTTCTGATGTCCAACAAATGAAAGAACTGACCCAGAAAGTAACAGTCTCATGTCATTAAAGCAAATCACAGCCCAAAGTCAGAAAATACATGATTCATGACGAGGTGAATCATTGTAAAAATATTAGTAAAATAATACAACAGTAGATCTGCAGTGAGCTCATTCAAATCAACAGACCTGTGTTCTGTTTCTCAGTGGATCTGTCACAGATTTGAGCCTCGGCTCTTTCCTCGCCCTGCACGAGCTGCTTCGTGTCGCGGCTTTCGTGTCGCGGCTTTCGTGTCGCGGCTTTCGTGTCGCGGCTTTCGTGTCGCGGCTTGGTGTCATCCTCATCTCAGAGCACGGACATTGATGTCCTGAAGAGTGATTTAGTGATTTGGAGGGAGATGGAGAATTTCTTAAACTATAAACAACAAAACAGAACAAGTTTATCTGAAGAACTGTTCATATGTGACGTTAAGTCTGTTCTTCTCTCTTCTATTGTTTTTACTACAACTTGACTTTACACAGGGAATGTCGGCTCTTGGTCTCTGATTTTAGAAATTTCCCCCAAAAACGTGACTTATATTATGTTGTTTTCTTTCTTCATTGACTTATAGTCCGGTAAATACGTTCCTTTCTTTTCCATTCCCACGTGTCCTTTTCCTGTGGAATCCCTCAGTGGTCCAGGGCGGTTCTATTGTTGTTTTTCTACTTTTTACTGATTTATTTTCTTTGTTTAAATCTTTAGGTGAAGAGACATGTGGTTCTACATGAAGGACACAAGGACTTTAACGTTCACGCCTGGGACTCGGAGGGAAACAAGTTCACTGCCGCCATCCGGGTGCAGCACGACGGCGGCCATCACCACGGCGACCAGCATCACGGCGGCCATCACCACGGCGACCCGGAGCATCAACACGACAACCGCGACCACGGGCATCACCAGGGAAACCACGAGAAGCACCATCAGCACGGACACCAAACTGAGGTAGAGATTACATGAGTTAAAGTCCCGTGTCTCGATGTTCTGATCTGATCTTCTCCACGTCTGTGTCTGAGAAGGAACAACATTAGAACATGACTTGAAGCTCACAAGAGTCAGTTTTGTGTAATATTTAAACACATATTGTCCATTTGACATTTCAGAGTCCAACTCTTCCAGTTGTTGCCGTTGAAGATGCTCCCAGCCGCCAGAAGAGACAATCTGTAAGAGACATTTTATTGTCATACATTTCAGAGAATTTGTGTTCAGGTTTTGTTGTTTGTGGAGGAGATTCTGATACTGCCACATTTATTAGCTTTATATTGTTTGTTTTTTTGTTTTTTTTCAGCTGGAAGAGGATGTGGTCATTTACTTTCCCAAAGCGACTAAAGGTCTGAAGAGAAGGAAGAGAGACTGGGTGATCCCTGATATCAACATACCTGAAAACGGCAGAGGACCCTTCCCCAAGAAAGTGTCTCAGGTGAGGAGGAGGAGACTGAGGCCGACTTTAAGATCCATGAACTTGACTTATCGGTGTCCCCAGATACGACGTAAACGTGTTCAAATCAAATACAGCTTTTACTGAGAAAACTGATAAAAATTTATTTATTCACAATGACAAAAACATCGGACATGTCACATTTATTTGTAATGATTCTCAAGACGATTAATCAGAACTGCAGACTGTCTTAATGTGGCCATTGTGTCGTCATGAAAACTGCGGAACATTCCCCTAGAGACATCCATGTAGAACACCCCCAGCGTGATAGTACAGTATGAGCGTGTAAACGTGTTTGTGTATTTTCAGATCCGCTCGTGCGACGACAAAGACCGTGTGATCTACTACAGCATCACCGGCCCCGGAGCAAACCAGCCTCCTGTCGACCTCTTCACTATGGACAAGTACACGGGCATCCTGTACGTGACCCGGCCCCTGGACCGAGAGGTCCAGTCCAACTACACTGTGAGTACTGCACTGCTGCACAGAGTACTGCACTACTGCAGAGAGTACTGCACTGCTGCACAGAGTACTGCACTGTACTGAGAGTCATTAACCCTTTCCCCCCTGGACGCCTACTAGGAACAACCCATACATATGTTACTAGTTCTACCCACAGAGCATAATTGCATAAAAGAAAACAGACTTCCACGAGTGATTATAAATGGTTTTTACACTCATGAACTTAATTGTAACACAGACATATTTGGTATCTCTGGAAACCTTAGACTCTGAACTATTCATTTATGGATATTTAAATGTGATTCAACTCATTTATAGGTGTATAACAGCTCACTGAAAATGAGAGTTTACCTGATCAGGTGCAAACTCGAAAGCAAAAAACTACATTCAGCATCTGATATCTGCATGTTCTGAGTACTATATTCATAAAAAAATAAAAAATATACTTTGTCAAAGTATTTAAACAGATTTCATATCACCAGATACAGTAGAGCCAAGTGTACACCTGTTTTTACCTGTTGTATACCTGTGTGCACCCAATTAATTTTTTTTCCATTTAACTTATTCAACTCATTTAGCTTATTCAACTAATTTAGCTTATTATAATATAATATAATAATAAAACTCTTCCCCGTCAGTGTGTGTCCAGTATTTGTCATCTTGTTTGCTTTCTCGTGTGCAGAGCTCCACATAAGCGTTTTTTCTGTAGCGATTCTGTTATACATCGCATCTTGGAAAAAAAGACTGAAATATTTTAAAGGACTAGCCTGGGCAACATCCAGATTTCAGGGCAATTTTAGTTCATAATCGAGTATAAAGCTCAGATAGTTTGTTCGGATATCGCAGGACTCCACACAGACGCATCAGCGGCATTCTCATCTTCTCCCTGAAAGTCCGTCGCTATCGCTGTTTTCCACTTTATAATCAACTTCAACATCATCACTTTGAAATCTATAAAAGTCACTTTCTCTAAACTTATCCATAAAATACATCCGCTCCTCATTATTTCTAAAACTGTGCGTCGCAGCGCCGCAATCTTTCCATTGCACGTGTTTCGTGTTGTGTTTTTTCCGGAAGCTACCATAGTCACTACTTCGATTAACTTCGGAAAAAATCGGCGAAAACATCTCCTTGAATCCTATTGGTCAGTCTAGTGTGGGTTGTAGTGGCCCCCACCTATCACAGTCTCTGTTTAAATGTGAAAAACCGAGCCATTTCTAAAGGTCGTCAAATCTCGTCTTCAGTGATACGGCGGAGGAGTCAAAAGTCGTCATTAAGGGTACGGGGGGGGGGGGTCGTCAAATGTCGTCTTCATGGGGGAAAGAGTTAAAGTACTGAAATTACCTGTGACAGAAATAAGTTTTAGGTAATTTTGACCAATTATTTTCCACTTGATCATTTAATTAAGTTCATTATCCAGTTAAAGCTACACACGCAGACACACACACACACGCAGACACACACACACACTTTATTTGCTAAACTGATTTCAGTTAAATACATTCATACTGACTACTTACCCTGGTCCTCCACATGGGCCCCATCTGAAACCGGACAAAAATACTTCCTTCCTTCTCCTTCCTCTTCCTTCCTCTTCCTCCTTTCCTTCTCCTTTTCGCTGACCTCTGAGAGCCACACCATGAGGTCACCTACAAGGACCGAGGAGGAAGGAGCAGTGAGGAGAAGGATCTATCCCTGTTTTCAATGGGAACAGCAGCTATTCAGTAAAAACTACAGTTCCCAGAAAACGGACTTCCGCCCTCGCCCCGTCCTCCGCTCTCCTCTCGCTCTGTGTTTTACCTTTGGTCTGTCCTGCAGTTCGAGGCTCATGCTGTGGCAGAAGGTGCCGGTCAGGCTGAAACCCCCATGGAGATTAACGTCATCGTGATCGACCAGAACGACAATTGCCCCATTTTCACCAAAGACACCTACATTGCCGAAGTGGCCGAGTCTTCACCCCTCAGTAACTATCTGCACTTTTCAGCACACACAAACGTCCTCGTGTCGATTAGGCAGCGTTTAACACGTTTTTTCTTTTATTTAAAAACATTTAAAAATAGCTTTCAATGTTAAAGTGCGTCTGACAAGTTAAACTCAAACATAATTAACATTTATTATTATTACCGTATTTTCTGCACTATAGTTCACTCTGGATTATAAGTCACACTGTCATTGAATGGTCTATTTTCTTTTCTTTTTACTTTTTCCAGACTTCGAGATCTTCCAGGTAACGGCCACTGACGCAGATCAGCCTGGGACTCTGAACGCCGACATCCGCTACAAAATCATTGACCAGGATCCGAAGGCTCCCGCCCCTGACATGTTCACTATAAACTCCGTCACCGGCTTCATCCGAGTGAACGCAAAAGGACTGGACCGAGAGGTGAGGCTCTGTACACTGATCTGATTGGGTGCATGCTGGGGTATGTGAAGTAAACACGAACACGACCTGAGCACATGTGACCAGAGTTTTGTGTCTTGAGCAGTGTAGACGGAAACACTACAGCGGAGCCTGTTCAACTTTTCCACTCTGGAGGTGGTTTCGGATTTTTGCATTTTTAAGCCCCAAAAACGTCGTCACCGTCTAAACAAAAGACACTTCCCATAAAATATTTTGTCATTTTTACCCACAAGCGTTCGCCTTGAAGGCAAAATATGGAACTCTGCTCCACATTTGCCACGTTTCCATGAGAGCTTTAATTCCGAATAAAAATAATTTAATCCTGAATAAAAATGAATTCCGCTTTAAAAAAATCATGTAAACACTTAATTCCAAATGAAAATGATTATTCTGAATTAAACTTAACAGTGAAGTGTTTGTTTTGTTCTGATGTTAAATGTGAGTGAGTTTGTTTCCTGGATCCTGTTTGTGGTTTGTTGTTGTTAAAATGCTGCTGGTGCTTCAGGCTCGTCGTGTCGTACTTCTGGTCTTGGTCCTGGTCCTGGTCCAGTCCTGTCTCGGGACTTTGATCCACGTCTCTTTGGATTTGTGAGCGGGATGCGGGAGTGGGCTGAGCTTTTGTCTTCTTCCTCCTTCTCCTCCTCCTCAGCTCACAGACGGAAAGTGTGATGAGACGATTTTCCAGCCGCTGCACAACAATTATCATCAGAACCACTGTGGGTTCAAAAAGTCTGGATGGTGTTTGTGTCCGTGACGTAATGACAAACCGAGATGACAGACGTCTAAATCAGAACCTTACCCACACACATAAAAACCATTTAACCAGTTTTCCATGTAAACCTCAGTTCACAATTATTTTTTCCATGTAAACTCCAAGGAGAATATTTAAATTCCTAACTATTTAATTCAGAACAATTAATTTGGAATTAAAAAACATCCCGTAAACGTGGCCTCACTGAGCTTCAGTGAGCCAAACGCTGAGAGTGACGTCGCACTCGCTTAGTCGACTTTTATAGACAGTCATGGTCACGCCTGTGCCCGCCTGTGCCCGCCTGTGCCCGCCTGTGCCCGCCTGTGCCCAGTGCTTGTGGCTGATGTTCTGTGTTCTGGTCTCTTACAGAAAAACCCAAAATACACTCTGGAGATCGAAGCCGCCGACATGGTAGGAGAAGGACTCACCGGGAAAACCAAAGTCATCCTGACTGTGACCGATAGCAACGACAATGCGCCGGTCTATACAGAGACCCAGGTGAGGGCCTTCGAGAGGTCTAGTCCTCCTGGTCTATTCCTCCCAGTCTAGTCCTCCTGGTCTGGTCTTATCCCTCCTTCTAGTCCTCTGGTCTTACAGTCTCTTTTCAGTTCACAGCCACTGTCCCTGAAAATAAGGAAGGTGCCACATTTATTAGCTTTATATTGTTTTTTTTGTTTTGTTTTTTCAGCTGGAAGAGGATGTGGTCATTTACTTTCCCAAAGCGACTGAAGGTCTGAAGAGAAGGAAGAGAGACTGGGTGATCCCTGATATCAACACGCCTGAAAACGACAGAGGACCCTTCCCCAAGAAAGTGTCTCAGGTGAGGAGGAGGAGACTGAGGCCGACTTTAAGATCCATGAACTTGACTTATCTGTGTCCCCAGATACGACGTAAACGTGTTCAAATCAAATACAGCTTTTACTGAGAAAACTGATAAAAATTTATTTATTCACAATGACAAAAACAACATCGGACATGTCACATTTATTTGTAATGATTCTCAAGACGATTAATCAGAACTGCAGACTGTCTTAATGTGGCCATTGTGTCGTCATGAAAACTGCGGAACATTCCCCTAGAGACAACAATGTAGAANCACGCCTGTGCCCGCCTGTGCCCGCCTGTGCCCGCCTGTGTGCCCGCCAGTGCTTGTGGCTGATGTTCTGTGTTCTGGTCTCTTACAGAAAAACCCAAAATACACTCTGGAGATCGAAGCCGCCGACATGGTAGGAGAAGGACTCACCGGGAAAACCAAAGTCATCCTGACTGTGACCGATAGCAACGACAATGCGCCGGTCTATACAGAGACCCAGGTGAGGGCCTTCGAGAGGTCTAGTCCTCCTGGTCTATTCCTCCCAGTCTAGTCCTCCTGGTCTGGTCTTATCCCTCCTTCTAGTCCTCTGGTCTTACAGTCTCTTTTCAGTTCACAGCCACTGTCCCTGAAAATAAGGAAGGTGCCACATTTATTAGCTTTATATTGTTTTTTTTGTTTTGTTTTTTCAGCTGGAAGAGGATGTGGTCATTTACTTTCCCAAAGCGACTGAAGGTCTGAAGAGAAGGAAGAGAGACTGGGTGATCCCTGATATCAACACGCCTGAAAACGACAGAGGACCCTTCCCCAAGAAAGTGTCTCAGGTGAGGAGGAGGAGACTGAGGCCGACTTTAAGATCCATGAACTTGACTTATCTGTGTCCCCAGATACGACGTAAACGTGTTCAAATCAAATACAGCTTTTACTGAGAAAACTGATAAAAATTTATTTATTCACAATGACAAAAACATCGGACATGTCACATTTATTTGTAATGATTCTCAAGACGATTAATCAGAACTGCAGACTGTCTTAATGTGGCCATTGTGTCGTCATGAAAACTGCGGAACATTCCCCTAGAGACAACAATGTAGAACACCCCCAGCGTGATAGTACAGTATGAGCGTGTAAACGTGTTTGTGTATTTTCAGATCCGCTCGAGCGACGACAAAGACCGTGTGATCTACTACAGCATCACCGGCCCCGGAGCAAACCAGCCTCCTGTCGACCTCTTCACTATGGACAAGTACACGGGCATCCTGTACGTGACCCGGCCCCTGGACCGAGAGGTCCAGTCCAACTACACTGTGAGTACTGCACTGCTGCACAGAGTACTGCACTACTGCAGAGAGTACTGCACTGCTGCACAGAGTACTGCACTGTACTGAGAGTCATTAACCCTTTCCCCCCTGGACGCCTACTAGGAACAACCCATACATATGTTACTAGTTCTACCCATAGAGCATAATTGCATAAAAGAAAACAGACTTCCACGAGTGATTATAAATGATTTTTACACTCATGAACTTAATTGTAACACAGACATATTTGGTATCTCTGGAAACCTTAGACTCTGAACTATTCATTTATGGATATTTAAATGTGATTCAACTCATTTATAGGTGTATAACAGCTCACTGAAAATGAGAGTTTACCTGGTCAGGTGCAAACTCGAAAGCAAAAAAACTACATTCAGCATCTGATATCTGCATGTTCTGAGTACTATATTCATAAAAAAATAAAAAATATACTTTGTCAAAGTATTTAAACAGATTTCATATCACCAGATACAGTAGAGCCAAGTGTACACCTGTTTTTACCTGTTGTATACCTGTGTGCACCCAATGAATTTTTTTTCCATTTAGCTTATTCAACTCATTTAGCTTATTCAACTAATTTAGCTTATTATAATATAATATAATAATAAAACTCTTCCCCGTCAGTGTGTGTCCAGTATTTGTCATCTTGTATTTTCTCGTGTGCAGAGCTCCGCATAAGCGTTTTTTCTGTAGCGATTCTGTTATACATCGCATCTTGGAAAAAAAGACTGAAATATTTTAAAGGACTAGCCTGGGCAACATCCAGATTTCAGGGCAATTTTAGTTCATAATCGAGTATAAAGCTCAGATAGTTTGTTGGGATATCGCAGGACTCCACACAGACGCATCAGCGGCATTCTCATCTTCTCCCTGAAAGTCCGTCGCTATCGCTGTTTTCCACTTTATAATCAACTTCAACATCATCACTTTGAAATCTATAAAAGTCACTTTCTCTAAACTTATCCATAAAATACATCCGCTCCTCATTATTTCTAAAACTGTGCGTCGCAGCGCCGCAATCTTTCCATTGCACGTGTTTCGTGTTGTGTTTTTTCCGGAAGCTACCATAGTCACTACTTCGATTAACTTCGGAAAAAATCGGCGAAAACATCTCCTTGAATCCTATTGGTCAGTCTAGTGTGGGTTGTAGTGGCCCCCACCTATCACAGTCTCTGTTTAAATGTGAAAAACCGAGCCATTTCTAAAGGTCGTCAAATCTCGTCTTCAGTGATACGGCGGAGGAGTCAAAAGTCGTCATTAAGGGTACGGGGGGGGGGGGGTCGTCAAATGTCGTCTTCATGGGGGAAAGAGTTAAAGTACTGAAATTACCTGTGACAGAAATAAGTTTTAGGTAATTTTGACCAATTATTTTCCACTTGATCATTTAATTAAGTTCATTATCCAGTTAAAGCTACACACGCAGACACACACACACACGCAGACACACACACACACGCAGACACACACACACACGCAGACACACACACACACACTTTATTTGCTAAACTGATTTCAGTTAAATACATTCATACTGACTACTTACCCTGGTCCTCCACATGGGCCCCATCTGAAACCGGACAAAAATACTTCCTTCCTTCTCCTTCCTCTTCCTTCCTCTTCCTCCTTTCCTTCTCCTTTTCGCTGACCTCTGAGAGCCACACCATGAGGTCACCTACAAGGACCGAGGAGGAAGGAGCAGTGAGGAGAAGGATCTATCCCTGTTTTCAATGGGAACAGCAGCTATTCAGTAAAAACTACAGTTCCCAGAAAACGGACTTCCGCCCTCGCCCCGTCCTCCGCTCTCCTCTCGCTCTGTGTTTTACCTTTGGTCTGTCCTGCAGTTCGAGGCTCATGCTGTGGCAGAAGGTGCCGGTCAGGCTGAAACCCCCATGGAGATTAAAGTCATCGTGATCGACCAGAACGACAATCGCCCCATTTTCACCAAAGACACCTACATTGCCGAAGTGGCCGAGTCTTCACCCCTCAGTAACTATCTGCACTTTTCAGCACACACATACGTCCTCGTGTCGATTAGGCAGCGTTTAACACGTTTTTTCTTTTATTTAAAAACATTTAAAAATAGCTTTCAATGTTAAAGTGCGTCTGACAAGTTAAACTCAAACATAATTAACATTTATTATTATTACCGTATTTTCTGCACTATAGTTCACTCTGGATTATAAGTCACACTGTCATTGAATGGTCTATTTTCTTTTCTTTTTACTTTTTCCAGACTTCGAGATCTTCCAGGTAACGGCCACTGACGCAGATCAGCCTGGGACTCTGAACGCCGACATCCGCTACAAAATCATTGACCAGGATCCGAAGGCTCCCGCCCCTGACATGTTCACTATAAACTCCGTCACCGGCTTCATCCGAGTGAACGCAAAAGGACTGGACCGAGAGGTGAGGCTCTGTACACTGATCTGATTGGGTGCATGCTGGGGTATGTGAAGTAAACACGAACACGACCTGAGCACATGTGACCAGAGTTTTGTGTCTTGAGCAGTGTAGACGGAAACACTACAGCGGAGCCTGTTCAACTTTTCCACTCTGGAGGTGGTTTCGGATTTTTGCATTTTTAAGCCCCAAAAACGTCGTCACCGTCTAAACAAAAGACACTTCCCATAAAATATTTTGTCATTTTTACCCACAAGCGTTCGCCTTGAAGGCAAAATATGGAACTCTGCTCCACATTTGCCACGTTTCCATGAGAGCTTTAATTCCGAATAAAAATAATTTAATCCTGAATAAAAATGAATTCCGCTTTAAAAAAATCATGTAAACACTTAATTCCAAATGAAAATGATTATTCTGAATTAAACTTAACAGTGAAGTGTTTGTTTTGTTCTGATGTTAAATGTGAGTGAGTTTGTTTCCTGGATCCTGTTTGTGGTTTGTTGTTGTTAAAATGCTGCTGGTGCTTCAGGCTCGTCGTGTCGTACTTCTGGTCTTGGTCCTGGTCCTGGTCCAGTCCTGTCTCGGGACTTTGATCCACGTCTCTTTGGATTTGTGAGCGGGATGCGGGAGTGGGCTGAGCTTTTGTCTTCTTCCTCCTTCTCCTCCTCCTCAGCTCACAGACGGAAAGTGTGATGAGACGATTTTCCAGCCGCTGCACAACAATTATCATCAGAACCACTGTGGGTTCAAAAAGTCTGGATGGTGTTTGTGTCCGTGACGTAATGACAAACCGAGATGACAGACGTCTAAATCAGAACCTTACCCACACACATAAAAACCATTTAACCAGTTTTCCATGTAAACCTCAGTTCACAATTATTTTTTCCATGTAAACTCCAAGGAGAATATTTAAATTCCTAACTATTTAATTCAGAACAATTAATTTGGAATTAAAAAACATCCCGTAAACGTGGCCTCACTGAGCTTCAGTGAGCCAAACGCTGAGAGTGACGTCGCACTCGCTTAGTCGACTTTTATAGACAGTCATGGTCACGCCTGTGCCCGCCTGTGCCCGCCTGTGCCCAGTGCTTGTGGCTGATGTTCTGTGATCTGGTCTCTTACAGAAAAACCCAAAATACACTCTGGAGATCGAAGCCGCCGACATGGTAGGAGAAGGACTCACCGGGAAAACCAAAGTCATCCTGACTGTGACCGATAGCAACGACAATGCGCCGGTCTATACAGAGACCCAGGTGAGGGCCTTCGAGAGGTCTAGTCCTCCTGGTCTATTCCTCCCAGTCTAGTCCTCCTGGTCTGGTCTTATCCCTCCTTCTAGTCCTCTGGTCTTACAGTCTCTTTTCAGTTCACAGCCACTGTCCCTGAAAATAAGGAAGGTGCCCAGGTGGTAAAGATGTTGGTGACAGATAAAGACGACCCCCACACTCCCGCCTGGAACGCCAAATTCACCATCATCGACGGCAACCAGAATGGACTCTTCGCCGTAGCAACAGGCATTAACAAACAGGAGGGAATCATCACCACGGCCAAGGTTAGTGTAATATAGAAGAATACTGAATACAGTTTTTTGACAGATTTTATATGATGCAGAATCTTTGCTGATACTTTGCAGCTCGTGTTCAACAGTGTAACTCGTCTGAAAACACAAAAGTGATTTTAAAGAGCAAATTTTCAGGAACCTACGTTCAGTCCGAGCGCTTATGGTCCTGTTTAGGAGTTTGATTTTACACTAAAAGGTCAGAGTGAGTCACTGGAAAACTGTTGGTTGTAGTTCCAACTAAGTTTATGAGATCAGATTATCAGACTCAGATTAAAGCCTAAAGCTGCGTTCAGACCACGGCGTAAAAAAAAAACGCTTTGGACGCCTCTAGTTGGACGCCTCTAGTTGGACGCCTCTAGTTGGACGCCTCTAGTTGGACGCCTCTGCATTTAAGTTCAGACGCCTCTGACACGCGTCTTGGATGCCGAGGACAAATGGGAGAAAAATACTTGATGTGCGTCCAAGGCGTCGGCTGCGGTCTGTGAGTGCCGTGTTTTCACAGAGCGTGAGTGACTTTAGTGTATTTATTACGTAAAACCATCAGAGGACGCGAACAGCGGCAGGTGCGGCATATATATATTTATATTCCGCTGATAAAATGGCATAGATTTCTTGTTCTGGTGTCTGTTGCTCGGTACGTCACTGGATATTCGTCCCTGATTGGTTGACGTGGCACTGAGGTCAAAAGTTCGGCTTTTTCAACTTCTGACGGCGACACCCTGGGCATCAATGCCAGATTCTCGCTGCACTGACGCCTGAAGACACGCCACAAAAACGCAGGATGCACGATTTTCAATTAATCATTAACAGTTTTATATTAAAATGATCATTTTTATTACCATCTGCACTAATCTGCAAAAATTCAACTTCACGACATAAAAACATAACGACTCTAGAGCCACATCAGCTGTTTGACATTATAATGTGTTTAATTCAGATTTGTGCAACTCTCACAGAAACTGAACGTAAAACCACATGACTCATTTGCATAAACTAAGCGAAGAAAAAAAAACAGCTCTTGTGTCTGATGTGGTTCAGTTTCTGTCGGACTAAAGGACACGACTCAGGTGAATACAGGTTAGTGTGACTGTATTTGTGTTTGTCAAACCAGGACAGCGTACGGGGGGCGGGGCCTCATCATCGACATTGAGCGACTCTCACCTGACAAAACTTTTGAATGTTTTTGTGTGTTCTGGTGCTTTGAGGTCCCTGACACATGGACACAGACACACATGTGCTGCTTTACACTGTGCACATGGATCATACTTGTCTCCACTGAGACGAAAAGCGCAGAATTTCATGTCCAAGTCAAATCGTTAAATGTGCATTTGTGCTTCTGCATGTTTCAGACCGACGATTTGTGTCTCACTCCTTCTGAGTCACAGACGCTACGACAGATGCTCAGTTTAACGACACAACGAACGGAAATGAAAAACGAACATTTGCATCACTTCAAAAAAAAAAAAAAAAAAAAAGACGGCCAGGACTAAATTCAGTTTGTCGATTAAAAATGAACATAATCGATTAAATTCTTAATGATCCATTCTCAATTAATCGACTAATCATGCCCATCTCTAGTCAATATAGCTATACCACAATGCACTGGGGGAGTCGGGAAAACAACGGTGTTCAGCGACAGGAGTTTAACTGGACACAACCCGACTGAAGCAGAGAAAAGCTCTGGATTATGGAGCTGATTCTGAATAAAACACGACTAAATAAACGATTATTAAGATGTACGATTAGTTATGATGTTAGTGCGAGACAAAAAGCTAATTTTAAAAAATCTCTGTGAATGAGTGCACTGTAGGGGGCGCTAAAGAGTGCGGCACTATGTAGTGAATGAGGTTTTTAGGGTGGACATTTGGACAAAGCCCAAGACCTGACCTCTGTCCCCAGGGCCTGGACTTCGAGAAGACTCAGAAGCACACGCTGCTGGTCGCCGTGGAGAACGAGGTGCCCTTTGCCGTCCCTCTGCCCACGTCCACGGCAACGGTCGTCGTCACGGTAACTGATGTAAACGAGCCGCCCATCTTTGAGCCCGTCGTGAAGAAGGTCTCCAAACGCGAGGATCTGGCTGTGGACCAGGAAGTGGTCCTGTACACGGCCTTCGACCCTGATACAGCGCGCAATCAGAAAGTCATGTGAGTCCTGGTTTAGTCCTTGGGTTTAGTCCTCGATTTTGTTCTAGTTTAGTTCTTGGTTTAGACCTGGTTTTAGTGTTTGGCTTAATGTTTAGTGCAGTCTCTGGTTTAGTCCCTGGTTTAGTTCTGTTTAGTTTTTGATTTTGTTCTAGTTTAGTGCATGGGCTTAGTCTCTGGTTTAGTTCTTGGTTTATTTCTCTGTTTTGTTCTAGTTTAGTTTTTGGTTTCGTCCTTGGATTTAGTCTCTGAGTTTAGTCCTTGGGGTTAGTCCTGGTCTAGTCCTGGTTCTTGAGTCTCTTGGTGTGTCTCAGGTACCGGATCGTGAGTGACCCGGCCGGGTGGCTGAACGTGGCCAAAGACACGGGTCTGGTGACGGTGAAGTCGCCGATGGACAGAGAGAGTTTGTTTGTGAAAGAAAACGACATTTACACGGCGCTGATCGGAGCCTACGACGACGGTACGGACGATACAAATACTACTGCTACTGCTACTACTACTGCTACTACTACTGCTACTACTACTGCTACTACTACTGCTACTACTACTGCTACTACTACTACTACTAATACTACTACTACTTCTACTTCTACTACTACTACTCTGGGGTGAGCCAGTGCTGAGGCAGATGAAGATGTGACGTTGTTGTACAGTTGTAGGGAGTATTATCTGTTCCATAAGGTTGTATCTGTTTGAGTGGATCAGCCTGTTGGAGAATCATCTCCACGTCCCTGTTCTGAGTGTCATGTGTCCTCCTGTCCAGACGAGGTGCCGGCCACAGGGACGGGGACTCTGGAGATTCAACTGATCGACGTGAATGACAACGGCCCGTCCATCGAGGAGCGCAGCTTCAAGGTCAGTACCAGCGTTATTTTATTTGACATCTAAACTAAATGTGTTCTATTGACGTGGTGAACTCGATGAGCGTGTTTATCCCGGTTATGAGTCTTGAGCTTTATCCCGGTTCTGACAGTTTTGTGGATGTGGTGTTTTCATGCTCCATCAGAGCATCTGGATATTTAGACTGGTTGCTATGGTAACTGTGGCACTGATGTGTCAAGGAGCTAAACATGAAGCATCTTTGTCAACTCAAGGTGTTTTAACGGGTTTCTAACAACAAAAAAGAAGATAAACATTCAAGTAAGAACATGAGAGTGTGGAGCTCTGTCACAGCTTCAATATAGAAGAGCCAGAGTCAGTTTAGTTCAAGAGCAAAACAAACCACCGCAGAGCTGATCCTGGGGATAAAACGTGGCTGTATGAAACTGTAGACTGCTTTATTTTATTTTCAAGTATAGAATATTGTTACTTAAAATGTCCTGTTAGGAGTTTGAGTCGTTTTGGGAAAGTAACAGCTCCTACTGTTTTTGTTTAGTTCACACGTGCTCAGTACAGCTCCAGTTTTGAGAAATCAGGATTCTGCGTCTACAGGCCACAGTCTCCTGGACTCTGACAAAAACCCAGTGAGTCTCCTGGTTTCTCATCACCGGGACAGTGGCTCCTCCAGGACGTTCTGTCGCTCAGAGGCAGAGACACACAGAGGGAAGGACACGGGACTTTAGTCAGTTTGTGCAGATTTACAGTCCCTGACAAAAGTCTTGTCGCTTATCCATTTTGTAGAAACAAAAGCTTATAACCTGACTTTAAATTAATCGATTGGTTTTAGAAATGTCTCATATGAAGCTAAAACCCTCCCAAATTATGCTCAATAAACTAAAATAAATGTTCTTCACTGAAGAAAGATTGATTATTTAATGAACACAGAAAGGTCAGATTTTGGCAAGACAAAAGTTTTGTCGCCTACAGAAAACTGAACAAATAATTTACTTCAAATACAAAAATATGTTGCATAACGTCAGTGAATGAAGTCGTGGTGCTGTGAGATCCATATTTAATATCTTGTATGACTCCATGAGCTTGAAGGACACATCCATGTGGTTCCACAATGATTCATACAGTTTGTTGATGAAGTCATCAGGAATAGTAAAGAAAGCGTCTTACAGCCTCCCAGAGTTCATCAAGATTCTTTGGTTTTGTCTTCATGTTTCCTCTTTCATTCTACCCCAGACCTGCTCAGTGATGTTCATGTCTGGTGACTGGACTGGTCAGTCCTGCAGCACCTTGATCTTCTTCACCTTGACAAACTTTGATGTAGAGATAGAAGTATGTGATGGAGCACCATCCTGCTGCAAAATCTGACCCTTTTACGGTTGGGAATGTAAGAGGAGTTAATACTTCTTGATATTTTAGGTTATTGATATTTGTCTTCCACCCTGCAAATGTCTCACACCCCCAGACTGGATGGAACCACAGACCAGGATTTTTCCTCCACCAAACTTAACTGTTTTCTGGGTGAATCTTGGATCCATGTGGCTCCAGTTGGTCTCCTGCAATATTTGCGGCAGCTGTGATGTAATTCAACCGAGGATTCATCTGAGAAATCCACCTTCTGCCACTTTTCCAGTGTCCATCCTTTTA